GGGCACATAGTTCGGGGGTCAAATGCTTAATACAAATGGCCTCAGCGATGGCCAACGTATGCATTCTAACGTATTTGGACCGGTTCGGTGGGGGAGGGGGAGTTGATAAATAATGCGGAATGCTTCACTTGGGTCCACACAATAGCCAGTGTCTACCAGGTGAACGAGAATCGCACTTGTGATAGATCCGGAACCAGCTTGACTCAGCCAGTGGGGATGGTGTTCTTTTATGGGGATAGATAACTGCCGTGCCGTTCGATCGACGTAGAGTGTCAAAAACGCATCTGAACGAGTAAACAACCATTGAAGCGGTCAACATCGGTAGTTTATCTTTATTCCGTAATGTTTTCAGTGGTGAAAAAGCAGCGTAGGTGCGTGGCGTTGAATATGGCTTTTACCGCTCCATGCAGTCGTCTGATGAGGGTTTCAGTGGCAACTTCACCCTTTAAAGGGAGACTAATGAACAGCTCCTTCTTTTCCACCTTATTAGTGTGTGCTTTGGTACCTGTCCCATCATATTTCGTTGAATGAAGCGGTCGGCATAGTCACGGCTTCTGAGTACGTTGGAGATAAATTTGAGTTCATCTTCCAATACTTCTTGTGAGCAGATTCTCCGAGCTCTAGATACTAAACATTTAATCAGGTTCCTCTTTAGCTTTATCGGGACATAACTGTAAAAATTCGTGTATTGGCCACTCTGAGTTTCCTCACGGTACACACGGCGTTGTATAGATCCATCACGTCTTCTAATGAGGAGTACATCTAGAAACCGTATTCGATCATCTGCTTCTACCTCCTTTGTAAATTGTATGGCCTTGTGTGGGGAGTTGAACTTTTCTAGCAGTTGATCCAGTTCGCAGTTTGAATCAGCTATACAAAATATGTCGTCTACATACCGACAGATCTGAGAATGCGGTGTGCAAAACACACACAAACACAGACACGCACACACGAAGTGAACGATTCCTCACATTTTATTGTTCTCCTCCCAACTCTTAGGATTTTTCCCTCATATAAACTATAATGGTATGATAATGAGTTATTGAAAACAATTGTTCACCTGAAATTGTGTTCTAAATGCGAATATGAGCATATTTCGAAATTTGGAGATATATAAACCTAAGTCTGACAAAACGTGCGATAAAAGCACAAAAATCAACGGGAATCAAACAGGAAAACTATTCGAACATAACCTGGGCAAAACTTACATAAACAGTTCTGGCTACGGCGAGAGAAACTTCAAGTAAAAGATACGTGCAGAAAAGAGATGAAAAGATCGAAAGATGATTTTATCTTTCCACTGTGAAACAACGAATAACGGCAACTGCTGCCGGCGTTGCTTTGCGAATTTCACACGGAATACAACTTGGTATTATGCAGTGCGGGTTAACTGAAAACAGACCATAGATAATACATGTGCATTGCATGTTCAACTGACTTCCAGGCGTCTAAAATAATGGAATTTAAATGAAAGAGACCCTGAAACCCATAAAAGTAGAAGATGTATCATTTAGGCGGCTGGTGGTATATATATAAGCGGTCGGGGATGACCTTCAACCAGGTGTGAGCATGTGGAGGGCTTTAATATGCCATGTGTGACCACGGACCAATACCAGGTAAAGTTATCGATATCATCCTATTGATCAACTGGATGCATGTGCTAGAGGCCTATTCCCGAAACAAAAACCCAAATGGTACAGAGGTTGATGCATAATAAAAAGCTCCTCCAAGCAAATTTATTGATGAATTTGCGTACAGCCCTCAGGGAAGCAAGTAGTCTGAAACCAAAAGGATTTCGTTCAGGTCAAGTGGGAGCCCAGATTTTGCAAGTAGCCCGCATCCGCAGGTAAACCGATTCCATCGCAACCGTTATTGTTATTTGTCACAGGTTGTGGATGTGGTCAAGACAAATATGCGGAATCCATAACTCTACGCAACTGCGATGGGGTATGTTGTTAGGTCACGCCGTGTGCGACAGAGAACCTTTTACAGCCAACGCGCGGTTCTGCTGATACGACTTGTATATCACGCTCTCTTGATGGACCGACGAAGTTGAAGTGAATGCAAGAAAAAACATGCCATCAAAAGTCGAGTTAACATACTGTGTAGAAGTGAACCATCGTCTGATGGCAACACTGATGATATTAGTACTATTACCAATGATAATAACACTGCGCATAATACGAGGGAAAAATAAAAGTACACTTACATTGATCACAATTGGTTGCATGCCATGATAGATGGGTTGAGAACAATACGGCCACATGTATGGACAATCGGTCAGATCCAAGAAGTTCGGAAACAGGCTTGCCTGTGGTTTGATTCGTTGCATTATCTGACGAGTAAGCGTGCGAGGAAATGGGACAAATAAATGAAAACCTCACAGAAACGAAATAAAGCACAAATACGCATGCAAAAATACATGACTGATGTGAATAGAGCGTGGCACATTCGAGGCGGTTTGTTATCATGTCCTTTAGAGCAGTTTGTATCTGCTTCATCTCCGTGTTTGATACAACGCTCAGCTGATGTTGATGTGGCTACATCCCGATCAAGCACTCGACATAGCGCGGGATAAAACAAGTCGATGGTGACAGAGACTGAAAATCCCCGGTGAGACAGCATGCAGAATGCACAGATACCTAGTTGTTAATGGACGGACATCTATTGCCTGATCCAATGATCATAAAGAAAATTTGTCTAGCTAACGGAAGGGCATCAACCCCGTCGACTGACTGGATATCTATCGAATAGACAACAATCATCGGCAACCACACACCAAAACACTGCCATCGCTAGTTCGAAGTTTGTTGAACAAAGGCTACAAATGCTCCCTGGAATAAAAATTCAAGCAACACTGGATACCTCACTATGTAGTACCGATAGCCCATGAAACTTCATATGAAGCCACTTTTATGGTGTAAAAGAAGCAAACTAAAACTCCCGATAATGTACTATCTGAACAGATGAATACTCATTGTGAATCGATTTAAATTCATGCTATTGATCACGGATATTTCACTACTTGAAATTGTCACTAACTCTCCGAAATCGACATATTTCGCAGATAAACAGAAGCCGACCTTGTACACCCACACAATCACGCACAGATTCCAAGAAAAAACATGGGAAAACATTCAATGCATATATAAGCTAGCCAATCACCGGACCGTAACTAGTGCGAAATGTAATCCGTTCTCGAGTGTATGCCGCAGCAGTTCGGCTATATGGAGCAGAAACTTGGCCATTGGGAACCAGGACAAAGATAGACTGTCGGTGTTAGAACACCGCTATCTACGCAGCATTGAACGAATCTGGTGGGGCAGCCGGACGAACAATGCTGAGGTTAGGCGCAGTTTTTGGTATCCGCAGTCGCCTACTGGAGCAAGTGGTCGACCTTCATAGATTACGTTGGTTGGGGTATGTGTCACCAAATATGTCACCAAATAGGTTGCCACGGCAAGCGATGTTCGCCGAAGAAAGTCAAGGGTGGCCACGCTAAGACCTGGCACGAGGGTATGAAAACCCTGACCAGGGGACTAGGTCACATAGGTCCCGTTAGGCTCCCTGGATGGGGACCTTGAGAAGATCGTACCCGATGGTTAGAGACACTGAATGATATGGCTAGGTGTCGTAAACAGTGGCATTTTTGCATCTTCTCAATTTCTTTGCAGCCATAGTTTACTGGAGTTCTCAATTTTCTCTTCGACTCTACCTTCGACTTTCCTGTTCTTCTCCTATTATTCATTCAAATGGGCAGCCAAAAGACAGCAACCAAAACCGGCGCACGAAAGTGCATGGTTAATGGTTGTTCAAACTGAAACTGAACTTTCGATAGAATTAGCTAGTCTAACGAACCCAGGCAGAGCATTTCTTTTAATGCGGGAGCAGCAGCAGAAAGTGCAGTGGCCGAATGGAGTCCACAATCAGAGAAATTTGTCAGAGATGCAATCGGTTGATTAAGCAATTGATAAGATAAGAGTCAAAGGTGAGACGGTAATCGTAGTTTTGATACACTGTTCTTGCAGAAGCAACGCAGAAGTGGATCAGCGTATGATGCAGACATCCGTGAACAACCCTTGTGAATTCTCAATTCAGATTGAACGGTAGAAGGAGAATTGAAGGGATCTTGGTAAAATACCCAGCTTTGAACCTCATGGATCGGCTANCACACACACACACACACACACACACACACATTGCAAGATATGACACGTACCAAGAGAGATTTGATCAAGTCCACCAGTCCGGCACCTTGTTCAAACGCGCTGCTTGTGTCCACATCATCCTCTTCGGGCCAACGAATGCGTTTCGTACCGAACACACGGACCTGTGAAAGACGCGTTGCGCCGGCAATCAGTGCTTGTTTAATACTGGCCGGATTGATCGGCACTTGGTAGGGGGCTAGCTGTGTATCGTCATCAGTCTTTTTCTGGGGTGACTGGATTCCGGCATTCTGTTGCAGTGCAGCACTGAAGAAGAAAGGTAAGTAGGTTGAATAAAGACGACATAATACCGAAACAGTTTACCGAACGGATCGATTTCATTACCATGGATGGAGTAAAAATTTCAAATGCGTATGGAATTTCGGAGAGCAATGTACTCACTAATCAGTAATTCACAAACAGGACTATCATCGTTGAGCTGAGTAACCGCATTCTCACAACCGAACTATGATGACTGAGCTCATACATTACTCTCGTCAAACAGTGAACTCTAGCCAAGTTGTACATGATGAAAACCATGCTAATCCAGTGATTTGGGTCATTCTGGTAACCAGTCCGTACCGGTACCGTCTTCATATCGGTAAAGTCAGATCAGGATAAGAAGTGTGCGGAACCGCTGTTGTGCTAAATTCATATGAAGAATAGCGAGACGAGTAGTGTCACATTAGGGAAACACCGCAAACTCACAGACAACGCCTGGCTAATGGCTGAAAGTCCCAAGGGATAAATGGAAGTGTGTTACGCGTAGGACACATTCAGACAAAGCTATCGGGCGACTGGTGATAGTGATTTGAAAATCATCCCGTGACGGAGTTGTAAAATATATTTGGGTATAAACAATTCCCGGGGCGAAGCCATCGGAGGCATAAGTAGTGAAAAATTTTAAAAACGTGTGGGCGAAAATCCGTTTGAGCGTGTTCGCTCCAATGTGCTCTGGATTAGAGCAAACCAGCTAGCTCATCGTGAGGTCTGAGTTTATGAATATGAGATGATCGGGGAGAGGAGGACAGGAGAGTCACTCCTCCGGCAATCGCTTCTGCTGTGTTCCAAGGGAACACGAAAATCATTGGTTTCCTTTCAAGAATCAGCTTTCACCTATGGTCTTCAAGGGATAACCTGAACAGAGTCAGAGCTAAATTCCCGGGGAACTGGCTCGACAGGTCGGCTGAATCGAAATCTCGGTTAGATAGAAATCCCTTCTACATAGCAGGATATGATTGGCTATACAAAGGATTAGAGCTCTATCTCAAAATGATGATACCTAATCAGGACCCGATTATGTGAGTTATCAGGGAGAACACATTAATTATTATTGTTACTCGTATGCAAAGCTACCGCATAGAAACAATTCGGGTATTAAGGGAACTAGCTCGGGCAACCATATCAATATTGGGTGTTGGAACAACCAAACATCTCTTTTGCATTACACACCTAAGTGTGACGAACAACAGACGGGGCAAACCCCATAGTCATGAGGACCTGCTGTTCAGTGATGAAAACCGGTAACCTAAGCCCCGCGGCACTTGGAGTGGCGAACCACACAAGACCCCGATAGGTTAGGCATGGTATTGAACCGGACGACAGCAAACCTGCTACCACCAAAGTCGGGTGGCGGTGGCGGGGTTCGAACCTCGGACTACAGGGTCCAAAGCACGCCGGTGACAGCGACTAAACCACCGCACGTCAGTTCATCCCATCACCGACAAGTTAACGGCTAGGCTACATGAACGGTACCGATCAATACATGGGGAATTACAGCGAAGATGACGGGATTGGAACACACTAACTAGAAGACAATGAATTCACAGTTTACACGGTGGATTGTGAAATCAATCAGTTTTGGAAAGGCATGCACAAGCACACAGCTTACTCGATCAAAAGTACCACCGCACCAGTGACCACAGGGGAGGCCACACTGGTTCCCGAAAGCGTACGACATTTCCCATCGATAGTCGAACTGATTACCCCGGTGGAAAAAGTGACCACATCCGGTTTCACTTGTCCGTAACCAAACGGCAAAGCCTGTTGACCCGATGGACCGGGAATGACAAATAAGGAAAACGAGAATGAAGGACTATTTATCCATTCAAATTTCACACGCGTCTGAGTTAAGACTGTGTGTATGAAATAAATCACGGCGCAATAATACTCCCACGGAGTGTCTCTTTGGGGAAGTCCAAATCATTGTTATTTCGTGTCATACGTGTTTGCACTAAAAAGATAGGCCATGAAAAGTGAGCGCGGTTGAGTTCAGCTTCAGTTTTTACAACCATTAAACATGCATTTCCATGAGTCCGTTTTGGTTGCTATCTTATGGCCGCCTATTTGAATAAAAGAGCAGAATGAAGAGTGAAATGTTGAGAGTACAGTCAGAGAGAACATGAAGAGTTCTTATAGACTAGAGTTGCAAGAATAATGAGTAGATGCACCAGCGCCACTGTTTGTGACACCCAGCCATATCACTCAATTTGTTCAACCATCGGTTACTGTGTTTTCCGGGTCCCCATCCAGGGAGCTTAACCGGACCTATGTGACGGTTTTTCTACCCTTATGAAAAGTCAAATTATAACCACCCTTGACATTTTTCTAGCCATCACTTGCCTGGATAAACAACGTGCGCCGTGGCAACCTATTTGATGATACGCGTAACACATGTCCGAAACAACGTTATCTATGGAGGTCGACCAGTTGCTTTAGTGACTACCTAAAACTCTGCGCCAAACATCAGCAGTCCTATCCGGTCGCCCCACCAGACTCATGCAATGCGACGTAGACAGCGGTGTTCAAACACCGACAATCGATTTGTATCCTGTTCCCGTGATTGTAAAGTCTTTGCATCGTATAAAAGGACTTCCTAACTGCTGTAGCATATACTTGGCTCTTTACAGACAACCGGATGCCGCGACGGCGCCACAAATGCGAATGCCAATCGAGCCTTTTGTATGCGTATCGGCACATCATCTGTGACGCGTCCGCCAGATGAGATGTAGCTGACCAAACAAACAAAACTTGTCCGCTTGCTCTTTTACTTTCCCAGTTAGAGTGAGGCTGGGAGCTGGACCAACCTGGTAGTAACATTTTACACTTTGAAGGTGCAAAACACATACCGAACTACACTGACACTCAAACTATCTAGAAAAACTGGGAACCTACATGGATCTTCACTTAGTAGCACAATGTCGTCTGCATACTCCAGATCAGACAGTCTGCCACCGGGGAGCATATCGATATCACTATCCTCCCACGATGATAGAACTGGTTCAAGAAGTAAATATCTGACAAAGTAAAAAAGAAACGGAAAGAGGGGGCAACACTAAACTCAAGCGAAAAAGTGCAGTAAGCTCGGGCTCGATTTCGGTTGTTATTATAAAGAGATCGCCAAAATTCTCAAGCACACTCTTCAGAGAAAAAAAAAGTGGGACAGTAGAGAGCAGTTGAGTGAGTCGAAAGCCACTTTCACATCCAGCAAGACAGAAATGGTTGGTCTACGAAAGGAGTGTCTGTGATCTAGAATTTGATGAAGAGTGAAGATGTGGTCTTTTCAACCTCGACCAGGTCTAAAACCAACCTGGTTCTCATGCATACACCGTTCATATGCAACAATCGTTGGAGTTTAATATCGGCGAAAAGCTCGGAGACAATATGGATAAAACCAATTCCTCTGTGGTTTGCACAAGAGGACCTGTCACTTTTCTTGTAAACTGGTATGATGAAATCGGTCGATGCACACACGGATACGACGAATAAGCACCAACGCCAACTGTTGATCCGTACCAACAGTGCACAGTCGGTTATTCACTGGCATCCAGTCAAGAAGTGAAAGCTCAGCTGTGGCGCTTAGCGCAAACCCGAGACTAGCAACACCGCGAGCTTTGGATGCCGAATCGTATGACACGTGGAGAGTGAAGCGTGAGAGATCGCAGGCTGATGACTGACGTAAGGTCTTGTATGCGTGTTTCGGAGACCCAGCACACATCGCAATTGAAAGTTTTAAAGTTTTAAAGGCAGCTTGTTGATCGATCTGACAGTCTGTGGACCTTGGATGCGGGTAAGTGAAAGGATTTTAGTTTCAATAATCACATAACTTCGGTTTGTTTATTGACAGAACGATGAATGATACACCATGGGTGGCGCCGACAGGACGCATCCCCTAAGATTTGGGAGTGAGAAAAGGAACGGCACAGATGAGAAAGGGTTTTTTTCAAATGGGTGCCTAAGAATTCAGGACAAGACAAACTTCGCGATAGCCCTCACCGACAAAGGGGTTTTTCTTTGGGAACCCCGATCGGAGCGTTGGATGCAAAAGTCTGACCCACTAGGGCGGAGATCCAACGTGGGAGCGTAACCGAAGCACCCCTAATGGGAGCTTTTAGAGACCTGTTAGGAAGGTATTTTGGGTTTCGGTTCAGTGTGTTTTTCGCTGGTGCGCGGATTGTCGGTCCGCTGTTCGGGATTGGCCATTAGTCTCGTGCACACAATGAGAACGTGAACCGAATTGCACTTTATTCGCTGGGAGCTGCCCAGCTTGGGTGGGCGGTAGATGTCCAATGAAATGCGAAGACTTCTCCCACTGTCATGAGGAAAAACAGGTACCCCGCTCCTACGTCCATTTAGCGGGATTTTCTCGAAAGACCAATTGCTTCTTCACAAGTTTATTTGTTGGACTGAGGGGCGAGAGTGGATAGTCATATGAAGCCAGGAGGTGGCCAAGCAGCTGGCCTCTACCGATTGACCTTTCAGGTATTATTGGATCTGCGGCTGTGAGGAGCCCTCCTGCATAGTTTGCAGGGTCATGGAGATGCGCAAGTCATCACATCACGTCAAGGTGCAGTCTCGTTTTGATGAACAGAAACAGAACAATCGGGAAGATAAACGCAGTTATTTTTTATCGGGAATAACAACACTTTCGTTTGCTTGTTTACTGTACGCGATTTTGACTTTGTTTGTTTGTTTATTTCACTTTTGGGCTTGTACACAGGAGTGTAATCACTCATTTTAGATCAATGCCACACCGCGAATTCTCCAGCCAACGTGTTTTTGAATCTTTGAGACCCCCACCGAGGTAGCCGAAAAGCCCCGCCACGTCACAGCTTGAGCACCTCGCTGTTTGCTCCAGTCTGGCCCAATGTCTGCGAATAGCGCATGGTATGACAAACGTTGTTCAGGCATCCGTAGGACGTGTCCGAGACGCCTCAGACGAGGAAGTGAGATGATTTTGCTCAGTGGAAAACTATGTTACCGTAAGAAAACGCCGTCCGATCTCATTGTAACTCAGGTGTGTAAGAACACGCAAAAATGCGGTGAATCTATCAAGTTTCGAGCAATCTCCGGTAGGCCTTTATAACCAGAGCCACCGAATTACAAAACCGACTGGGTGTTTATAAACTACAATGTCCCACTGAGCACGGACATTTACCTAGCCGATTTAGAACTTGTATACAATATCATCATCCTAGGAGACAGGCAATCATGAATTGCACAACATCATTCACGAATAACAGAAGATCAACACATCGAGGACCGAAATCTCTTCGGCTATACGGTCCACGCCCCCAATGAATGTCAACGGTGAACCAAACAATTAAGTCCATTGATTCAAATAACTATACAAAAAATATCACATCAATATGGTCCAGGGTGGAGGATAGTGATCACCGGTTCAATTGGACACGTTGGACGTTTGGTCCTGTCCAAATGGTTTGTGATCCGATGAACTGGACGCCGACCGCCAATCGACTGTGGTTTTCACACACCGTCCAGCATTTGACTTTGACTTACCCAAAGTCCGGTTGCGAATACCTTAAAACCATTCACCTGTGATGACCTGAGCAACCTGGAAGTATTGCACTCCCGAGTAAACCACGGACCTTTATCTTTGTGCTGTGACTGATTCAGCATACAGTTTGGACACAGACGCGCGTGAAATAGAGTATGATATATAGTGGATAAAAGGAAAAGCACACCCTCTACAACAGACTCACCCAGGTGGTCATACCACGAGACGAGAATCGGGCAACCCGCCCGGTCGCATCCACTCCGCCAACGCCCAGTACATCCATTTGATCGGCCGGATTGTTCAGTGTACCGAACAGCGGCCCGTCGTTGCCAATTGCAGAGACGAGGAGGATACCATTGGAAGAGAGTTCCCATACCTGCACAAAGAGCCGGGAATCGAGGGCGGGGAGAGATCAGATAGCATCACACT